AATGCGAGGGAACGAACGACTTCCGCGTGGCTGGATTTGTTATGATGAACTTTTCGCGGCCGTCGCTGAAGCAGAGCAACCCATTGCACGAACCGAATAGGGTCATGCACTCCCGTGGAACTGAAGGTGAGATTCCGATGGGGAGAGTGGTATCGCGACGGAAGCCGTCGATGTAGGCAGCAAAGTGGAGGTCGCCTTGTTCAAGATCGAACAAATCTACTTCGCGGATGAAGAGGATGGCGTTTTTGGTGGTGGCGGCAGAGTAGTCTATTTGAAGCTTGATGAACCTTGGGCTGTCGACCAGAGCCCGCCAAGGTTTGCAAAGGCTGCGGCAGCGCAGAATTGCGGCCACGGGAAGGCGGAGGAGAATGTTGGTCAGGATATCGAAGGGAAGGTAATCGGACATTTCGTTTCTGCTTGCCCGCTGAGAATCGGCCGGGAAAGGAGAAGAACAAAAATGCAAGTTTTTTAGCTTACTGAAAAGGACAACCAAGAAAACCCACTTTGGAGTAGGGACGCAATTAGGTTATAGGTATAATACTAGCTCTTACCCGACCCGTTGGTCGGATGAATTTTATTTTATATTTTATTATTTTATGTTAATCAATGGATTTATATATTCATTAAGAATTATTGTTGACTCTGAAACTAAAAGTTGCAGCTCGCAAAAAAAAACTCTTCAAGGGACATTTTTTTGATGGAGGGCAAGATTGACAAAAATTACATTAATTCTAAAATTAAGGTTAATTCATGTACAATGAAAATCAACAGAGACATATGTTTTCAAGAACTTAAATACCTTATGAAATTAGTAACTAAATTTTTAAGCAATAATACTTGTAGAAGAGGATGACTTCCATTGAGTCCTTTGATGTTGCGTAGATATCGACTTTAAAGAATATGTCATGGCCCAAAAAGTTAACAACTTTAAAGAACACAACAGCTACCCACCTCTGGTTCCTATTATCCCCTAATTATGTTTCAGTTGAGTGAAAATGTCTTTCTCTCTATATTTATCTTTTCACGCTATAGTGACTTGTTTAACTCGTACCTGGGCCGATGTTGTGGTTTCTGAACTTGATTTAATAAGTATAGCATATATCTAATGCAGTAATGCAGCAGCCATATGAGTGGTGAATCTCAAAGATCCCACCAAATGCTGCTTCTTATTGTTTACTGTTTGATATATTGATGTTGCCCTATTCGATATTCATGTAGTTTTTCAATAAGTAAGAGGTTCTGATGAATGTAGGTAATTTGAGAAGGAAATAACCCAACCGCTAACCGGGTTGGATGCAAGAGTTAAGAGACAAATAATCAAACAGTAATTTGCTTGGTCATGTGATTAAGTAAAAAAGAAAGAAAATAGGAGATTAGAGGAAATAAGAAGCGAACAAAAACTAAAAGCTAACTCGAACAAAATCACAGCCTACTGGCCTACTCGTTCATTCCCATCCTGACCACACACTTCGAACCCAAATCCCGACCCCACACTTCGAACCCAAACTTCGCCTGCTCTTCTTTCCCTACACCTCCCAATAAACCAACAAAATCACAACAAAATATCCATGTATCTATGTTTTCCCAAGACTACTTTGACAATGTTGTTAAAGAAGTTTGTACCCCATAAAGCAACAAATACTCAATACTTTTACATGAAGTAGCTTTGACTTTGAGTCATAGAAAGAAAATCAACGTGAGTCACTGCAAGTTGGCCAAATGAAGCATCGTACATCCTTTTGAAATCAACAATCAAATGGCAAACATATAACAGATGTAAATGAAAGGAAAAACTCCCTTTTAAAGCACTAAAATCAAATTGAAAGTACCCCGAATTGGTGGTTACATTTGTAGCCTGCTAGATAATCTCTTAACTTTGCCTCCATATCGATTTTGGGATGTCTCAACTCCATCTCTTGAACTCCTTCAAGATTCCATTTCTTCTTTGTTGCAGCTGCTGGGATTCTCTAGAAGTCAGAGTGAATTCACTCTGTAAAGCTCCTTCCTGAAGCATAGCTGGTCGGTGTTTTCCCACTTCATGATCAACAAAGCAAAGAAAATTTGTCATAGGATATGACTGTTTGTTCGAGGAAAGGGAACCAGTTAAATGGCACAAGAACTGAACTCAGCACGACATAAACTCTAATTGACTATGAGTGAAAGGAAGCCTAGCAAGGCATTTTCTTACATGAGGTGAGCCGTGAGTGTCACCCCGGAGGACCCCAAGAAGAAATGGGTGTCCTGATACTACTCTTGACTGTCTTTCTAAGGTACCTATTGGAGGCATCAAGGTCTCGAAAGCATCAGTTCATTGCACCTTTCAGAACTATATAATGTGACCAGTTCGAGCTTCCATGATCTCACATTTGTATTGTTCAGTTCCTCCTTTGCTCACCACCTATAGGAACCAATCAAAAGGCTCAGGATTCATGGTACATTTTTTGGTCAAATTAAGAGATGATGAAAACATGACAACCTTTTATGAGGAAGTAAACCATTCAACAAAGAGTACACAATTATACTTCGTGCGGAAAAAGTTGTTTTCAACATGAAGGGGCAGGAATCAACTGAAGAAAATAAAATAGACTAACAATGAAAGGCTACATCAATCCTTAGAAGGTCTGCACAAATGGGCACTGCAGAGAAGCATATCGCAATCCTAAGAAGAATCAATACCGGGAACTAACATATAAACCTCTCTAGATCACCAGAAGGTAGTAGCTATTGAATTAAATTACAGCAACTTATGACAGTACCACAAGCTTAACATGATTCACCATTACTTTAAGCTCTCTAACTGAATTTATAGGGAAAAGACCCTTCAAACAATACTACTTATGAAGTGGTGAAACTGGTTGCTATTCTTTTTTGTGGTTTACTTCATGTTGGTTAGTAGTTCCACTACTTTCTCCTTGTTGATACTATTTGCAACCTAATTAATGTTCTTTGCATCAGTAGATGGTGCCTATTGCACTTGGCAACCAACGAAATGCAAGGGTTTGTATTGATGGTGTCAGATGAACAAATGCCGCTAGGATGAAAATGCATCATCTATAAAGAGGTTTGGTGTCCTGAGATGAGATGAATTACATAATGCTATGGGTTATTGAAATTACTAAGCCATATCATCTTCCAACATAGCTCTAATTGCAAAAATTTACTGATTATAATGCTCTGTGATTCCAAAACACACATCAATCCCATCATTGTAGAAACATAATCTCTCACTCTAAGTAAATAACAGTTTTATTTCTATACAGTTATAGAATGCTATGAAATAGATAATCCACAAACTGAATGCAAAATACCAAATGAATCGGGATACAAATAGTAAGGCTCATTACTGAAACTATGACAACTTTACCCACCCAAGAGAACCTTAGTTTTGATTTTAGTAAATGCTATGCGTTATTGATCACTAAAAGGGATCTTTCAATTAATCATACACCAATGGACATGATTCAAGTTGGTTAAAATCATCAGAACAACAAATATATAAAAAGGGCCAGAACAATTCAGAACCAAGCATGCAAAAGGACAATTTATCTACACCCTTGAACAAAATTTCAACATCAAGATTTATGGGTTGAATTAAAGCATACACCACCATTTTTTAGCAAGAGATACATCACATGAGACAGAGCTTGGGTAAAAAATTGTGAGATCCATCTAAGAACATAGCAAATTAAATTAAAAGGCAAAAAAAAAAAACTCTCAACTAAATTCTTCAAGCTCTGAGTTGATTCACTTCCTACCATGTCATCAATTAAAGGTAGTAGGAAAGCAGGGTGGAGAGCTTTACCTGCTCCTGGGTTAGGGGATGCTCTTCCCAACCCATCACCGCAACACGTTTCTCAACCCATCTATAAGATCCACAAGGCTTCCATCAGAAGCATCTGAGCAAAAACCATATGAAAATGAGAAAATAAAAACAAAACTGTGAGAGTCATAGGTGGAAAACGTATGAATCATGCATGTTTTACTAAACCGAAAAACTGGTGAAGAGAAACTCAACTAAAATCGACAACAAAAAATGAAGCTGAAAGTTACGACTGGCTCCTTCCTCGTTCTCCTTCACCATGGGTGTCACCGAAGATAGGCTGAAACCCAAAAGAAAAAATAAAGGGAGGGTCGGGAATTTCCAAGCCATCGCCACAAAAATTCACCATGTTGGAGTCTTTGTACCACCAAACCACAGATGTTGCTCCCACAAAGTATTGAAATGCAAAAAAGGGAAAAGAGGTTCTACCTAATCCCAAGATTTTCCCCACTTTCTCAGTTATGGCATCGATGCCGCGTAACCCAAACACATGTAACGTTAATTTTGCTATCTTCGACGAATGATGGTGGCGATGATCTGAAGCAGATCCGATACTCTTGTAGGGAAGAACGTCGACGAACCCAAACCCCGCTCAGGCTCCCCTATTTCCCTCTCTCGATTGGCACTGCCTCTGTTAAAGAAGAAGATGGTAGTCACCCTTGGCCGCCTCTATCAATTCTTTGATTCAACGGAGAAGAGAAGAAGACCAGTCGTCCGCGCCTAGAAGGCCTTTCCTTTCTCTCTCTGCTTCTTCTTTTTCCGATCCAGAGCAAGAGATAGGGAGAGAGACATGAAAGTGATCAGAAACCCTGAATACTGAGAATCAAAAGAAAAAAAGAGATCAGAAATCGGCTTCGCATCCATACCGGATCAAGATCAGCAGCTCATTTTCCTTCCTGCTCCATCGCCCTCTGTTGCAGCACCACCTCAACCGTCGCCGCCGCCGCCACCTCCAAGAGCCAACTCCAACCCTTCCCCCATTCAACGCAGAAAGCAAAACTGAAAACCATCGCCACCATCCCACCACCCTCTCCCTACCGGACGGATGCCTCACCGTCGTGCCTTAGCTAGAACCCCGTCGAGGCGACCTCCTGCAACCGCCTCTCACGTCATCATCAGTTATGGCATCGATGCCGCGTAACCCAAACACTTGTAACGTTGATTTTGCTATCTTCGACGAATGATGGTGGCGACGATTCGTCGACAACCTCTTCGCCACGGAGATCAGTCGCTGCACTCCAAACGCGATCTCCCCAGTCCCAGCAGAAGCGGGCCGTCACTGCTTTCCGCCGCTGACCACCAAAGCGTCCGGCCCTCTTCCTATGAACTCAACAACAGCCGGCCGTCAGCGCCTTCCTCCGCTGAACACGAAACCGTGACGCCCTCTTACTAGAATATTTCGATGGAAACTAATTCTCCTCCTGTCCTGCGGGTAGGCGAAAGGATAACCTGGGAACCCAGTAGAAAAGGTGGGCTTATTTCAGCCAAACGAAAACTAAATGAAAACTAATTGAAAACTATATGATAACGTGGGAAATCAGGAGAAAAGGTGGGGTAGGGGACGGTTTCTTAGTTCTGCAATCTGGCGGGGAGTTTTATTTTTTTTCCCGCTTTACCCCCTGCCACATCAGCTTTCTAAAATCACTCTATGAGCAGGAAAATTTGAATTGGGGGTGCAGTTTTACTTTTCAGCTATAAATGATACTGTTGATGCCCCTCTACTATGACGTTTTATCAAACAAGCTCCTCTACTATTTTTTACATCAAATATGCCCTTGTACTTTGAAAAAATGATCAAACATGCCATTCTGTTAAAATTTTCATTGAAAAAATCGTCAATCGTGGTTGAACCGAGATTTAGATGACCCGACATCGGCAAATGGGAGGAAAAATGTCAGTTTTGTCCCCTGTTTTATTTCCCTGGGTCTTTTCAAAGTGAAATTATTTGAATGATTTGATCATACAAAAGAACGAAAAAATTCTAAAGTGAATTTATTATGGATATTTTAGTCATTTGTCTCGCCCAAACTAAAGTTCGGCCTTGGTTAACGGTTTTTGGATGAAAATTTTAACAAAAGGGCATGTTTGATCATTTTTACAAAGTTCAAAGGCATGTTTGATGTAAAAAATAGTAGAGTGCATGTTTGATAAAGCGTCATAGTAGAGGGGCATATTATACCTATAACCCACGCAATTACTCCCAGAGCTTTCTCGATCATTCCCAATCCAATTTTGAAAATCTAACTCTCTTAAAAGTTGGCCAATCGATCATTCTTAATCCAAAGACCACATTCAAGGGTTTGGATTTTCGATTTAACAATCACGTAAAACCCGCTAAAAGTTTGATGGGTATGGGGCGGGTATGGTTTTAGCCTCCCCGCCCCACCAAAAATATTTCTTCACATATGAAAAATATGTGAATCGATTTGTAACCTATCAATAATAGTGAGTATAACTCAATAAAAATATATAGTAGAAATGCAATTAAGTGACCACCCAAATCAAAATCTAATTATTTGTCTCAATTTTTCCTTCACTCTTTCACTTTTTCCCCTTGTTAACAAGATTATGTTAGTTAATTATTACTTAATAGATGTATCAACTAGAGAATAATGATTTGAAGGACATTGTACTCTACTCTGATATGGATTAATGGATGCTTTAGGATAAGATACTTTGAATCGTATCAAAAATGATTGTCTCTTTGTAAACTTCATGATATAGTAGGTGCGTTTAATGTTATAATTGAAGTCTACATGGAAAATATTCCGTATTATAAGGATGTGCGGGGCGGGTATTACCCATGGGTACCCGAAACCCATGGGTATGGGGATGGGTTTGCAAAACCTTCCCCCGCATGGGTATGGGGCGGGTATGGGTATAGATATTTGAAAGCGGGGATGGGGATGGTTTAGACAAACCCGCCCCAAACCCGCCCCATTGCCATCCTATTTGTAATTGTATTTCCTATTTCACAACCCAACCCAACGTAATTTATTCCCAATACATTTAATGATTATTTTTCAAATAAATAAGAACCCGTATGTTAGTTAGATTAAAGGTTAATAATTATATTATTATGTTAAATATATATAATCACTGTTGAACAAATCTAACCCAAGATTACCAATAATTATATGATGTTATCTCTAATTAAAAACCTCGAATTTGTAGGGATTTCCTTTTTTGCCCGGGACACTATTTATAATTAGTTAGATTAACGGTGGAATATAATTTATTAATATATTAATTTTTAAGATAATTATCAAACACGTATGGAATTAGGGGAAACATAATCATCACGTCTAAGCCATAATAAATAATATTTTTTTATTATTAATTACTTCCTTCTTTAATTGCTACAAACGGAATTAGGAGAAACCTAATTTAATAAATAATTACCTGTTTTAATAGTAGTTGAGTTTAATTTAATCACTTAAACTATTATTATTTTTTTTACGTAAAATAAGTTTAGTGAATAAACGTGGTGAGGCAGGAATTAGCTAGATTAATTAATATTTAATCTAATCGGAATAACAATAACAGTAACAAAAGATGAAATCATATGTTCTCCCTCTACACATTCTAGCTCTCTCAAACCCTAAACCCTAATTCCCACCAAATAACTAACTTCAACCTCAAAACATCTAATCCTACTACGACATTGTATTAGAGGTAAAATCGTTTTTACTTTAACTAACAATATTTGTTTGCATCATTGAAATACACATTATAGGCTCAAGAAACACCTTTTTATTATTCACAGGGCTCCCAAAAATCTCGATGAAAATTTTGGTACTATTCATATTTTTTTGTCCGGGATGTCTAATCGAAAAATGATCTATTCCACCATGTTCGTATCCACATTTTAGAGGATCAACAAGGTTTCAATAATTTTTATTTACTGACCATAAAAAATAAATCTATTTACGGATTTGGATGTTTTTGTAGTGATTTAGATAGAGATCAAATAATTAACTTATTCCCTCCAATTGCATAACCTAACGTCTAATTACCTAATTAACTTGTTTACCTTTTATGATTGCTAGTTGGTAACTGGGTATCGCGAAAGGAAATTTTATTTTAATTAAGGTAAGTTTAGGGTTTTCTTAATTTCCTTGTTTGTCTCCAATAGGTGAATTTAATCATTTTAAATAAACTTTTAAATAAATATAAAATATCACGTCCAAGATAATTATTTTAGGTTATTATTAATTTCTATTTTTGTGTTTGTTAGTAGAGTATAATCACTTTAGGTAACTCTTTTTTTTTAATTAGGAAAATAATCATTAAATGTGGTTTATTGGGGAGGATATTTCATAAATATAACCTTAAAAAATTTACCATAAAAATTACTCAAAAAACGTGGGTTATTGAGGATATAATATTCTAACTATTTACCATAGAAATTCCGTATATAATATTCTACCGAAAATATATCAATGGAAAAATCAATCTCACCTTAACTCCCTTTAATCACAATTATAATATATAAAATAAACTTTATTTTTCGCAAAAAAAAAAAAAAATGAGAGAAAAACACTGGCGGCCTGTCCGACGCCGCCGATCGGACGTGGGATGCCGAGAAGGTGATGATGATGCCGACAAGGTAGGTTTCACGAGATTAAGGTTTTATTTTCAATTATGATTGTGTTTCCCATCAATATATTTCCAACGTTAGTGCATGCAAAGTGGACACATATAATTGCATTCCACGTTAACTTCCCCCATTTATTGTTAAAGGCCGACAATGAAGGGAGGACGCCGCCAATGAAAACGGCCGGAACGATGTCGGAGGTCAAAGGGAGGAAAGCAAATAGAACGTGAGATTTGATTGGGGTGGGTGACAAATATGAAGGAGGGCAAAAATGTCATTTACTTTAAAATTGTGGGCGGCAATTATAATTCTACGGGCGGTAAATAACAATCCTCTTTCTTTATCGGGAAGGAGGAAGAAATAATGGAGGAAAGAGGAAGATGCAGAGCGCGTGCGGCGGTGCGGGCGCAGAGCGATCAAATTAATAGCATATGCAATGGGTAAATGCCACATTTGGTCACCGAGATTACTAAATCGTGTCATGTTTAGTCACTAGAAAAATTTAATATCAATTTTGGTCACTCGAATTACTTAACCATGTCACATTTAGGCACTCTCCTGTTAGTCTCCGTCCAAGTCCGGTCACTCGAATTACTGAAACATGTCACATTTAGTCACTCAAATTACTGAAACATGTCACATTTAGTCACTCTCTCATTAGTTTCCGTCCAACTCCATTAATTGAGTTGGACGAAAACTAACGGAAGAGTGACTAAATGTGACCTGTTTTAGTAATTCGTGTGACCAAAATTGATATTAAACTTTTCTAGTGACTAAACATGACACAATTTAGTAATCTCAGTGACCAAATGTACCATTTACCCCATATGCAATTGCAAAAGAAATTGCATTGTGTTTTTTATTGTCAACTCAAATCTTTTGCAATCCACGTTACATTCATTTCATTCACCTACATCAATGCAATTAACTTGCAATTGCAAATATAATTAAATATTATGTTTAAATTATAGAAAATTGAGTAAAAGAAAATAATAAAAAATAAAAATCACCATTTTGTAAGACTTTTTTTGACTTACATATGAAATTGCATTTGTTGCAAGCTTACAAATATACAATTGGTAGCCACATCAATAAAATTGGTTTTGCAATTACAAACACCTATGTCATATCATTTTGCAATTGAGAATGCAATACCAATATAATGTGATACTCTAATCATCATTTGCCAATCCCACGCGCCGGCTGCAGGTGGAGACGGCGGCAGAGGAAGCAGCAGTGCAGCACGGAGCCCATCATTCATTTCCTGAAGAATGGGCTCATGTCGTTACTGAACCGGGCCAATAGATGTGGGTCTGGTAAGCTGCTCACAAGCATGGCAAAGGAAACCGTGTCGTACCGGCCGGTTCAACCGGGAATCCGACCAGTAGCGAAACGATACCCTACCAGCCTCCTTTCTATCGCGCCGACCGGTTTAATCGGCTTAACCGGCATGAACCGGTATACCGTCCGGTTTAAGTCAGACCGGCAGTAATAAAAAATTTGGTAAACGTCGCCGTTTCAGGCGACAAAATTGAAAAAAAAATTTAATCGACGAAATGACTGTACTAACTGCTAACCCTAATTGATTCTTTCTCTTCGGCCTTCGACCTCCAAGCTCCAAGCCTCTCTGCCGCCTCTTTTCTCCATACCAGAATCAGATCGCCGCTGCCTAGCGCCTGCCCTGCAGTCTGCCTGCTCGTGACGGAGAGGCCCGTCACCGATCGATCTCCAGTCTCCAGCGCAGTCCAGCGAGCAGCGAGTCGGCGTCTCGCCGACCGCCTGCTCGTGGTCGACAGCTCCGTGAATAGGAGAACGCGCCGGCCGCCTACCCTTCGTCTTCTCCAGCAGTTCGGCGACTGGACGACCGACGAGCCTGTCGCCGCCCAAGTATCCCTCTCTACCGCGCCGACCCTCTATCTCTGCCGCGCCGACCCTCCCTCTGCGCCCCGCCGACCCTGTCCTTGTCGCCAGTTGCATGCGGGCTTCGACGGTGGTTCCAGACATCCAGTTCAGTACTGCCTCTCCGGCTAGCTACAACGACTGCTTCCCTAGGCCACCGCTACCCTCTTCTTCCTTCTCCAATTCTGTCTCTGTTTCAGACCTCAGCTCCTGTAACATCCCGTTCCGGCAAAACCCATATTTCGATCGCTAGAAAGTTCGCGATTTAAAATCGAGCATTTCGACACTATTTCGGCGAAAATCGGATTATCGATCGATCGGATAAGTATACGTATCAATTATATATAATATATATATAATTAGTAAAAAGCAAAAGTGAAATTTAAAGTAAAGGAAAGTAAGTAGGCGGTGGGGAGCTTATTAAAAGTCCCCTGTCCATTTCTTTTCCCCATCCCCATCCGATATCATATTTTTCCATTTCCGCTACCGAGAGTAGAGCAGCGCGGCGGAGAGTCCAGGGGAGCGACTGGAGAAAAATTCTCCAAGCTCAATTCTTGAGCCCTGGTGATCCAAAAATCCCGTAAGTAATGCCTAATTCATCTATGCGTCGTGATGTATCGATTTAGAGCTTTAAAACGAGATTTTGGTTCAGGAATTTCTTGAATTCCCGATAAGCCAAATTAGGGTTTCGGAGTATCCGGAAGTCGGATTGAGCCCAAATTTCATATACGAGCTTCCTGCAGTGAGGTAATCAATCCTCTAGTTCTAATCCCTGAATTTCGGCTATTATTTAGATCGGAGCCGGGATCGCTGAATTTAGCTCCGGCCAGGGTTTGATGTGTTTTTATCGAGAATTTGACCCGGAGCCCAGAACTAATATTGACGGGGATACTGCAGGGGATATTAGGACGGTCTCGGATTTTAATTCGGGGTTCGTTCGTGAAAGTGACGTTTTAGTACGGGAAGGTTAAACCGGTGTTTGAACGACCAGAACTGGTGAGGGATTAGCACGGCATACCGGGTTTGTCGTATCACGATAATTATATTGATGCTTAGAATTGATCTAGGTGAACTAGAATGGCATGATTAGGGGTGTATGAACTTTTGTGCTATATGTTGAACCCTGGATTGCTGTATGATATTATTGACTTGCCCTAATCGATATGAACCTTGTTTATGCTGATGATTGTGTATATGTTGCAAATTGTGGGCTTGACTGTTGATATGCCTTATGATGGTTCGAAAAGGTGATTGGGGATGATTTTTCATGATTGTTGTATTTGGATGCACATGGGGGGAAATATATATTCCCTAGTGATATTATGATGTTTAAGGAGGATGACTTGCACGAGGGTTTATCCCGAGGAAGTGCAATTATACGACTCCTGATTTACCTATGTTGAGCCAATTATGGCCAGGTCAAGTACATGTGCAGGTAACGAATTATGATTAAGCAAGATGAGATATGAATCATGTATAAGGATACCAAATATGAGTGTTGTGGTCTCACGGTCAACTACATAGTAATTAGGGCTCCCTATGCTATTACTCTATTATGATATGTATGATAGTCACACCTCTCATGTGGTGGTGACTGAAGAATTCTTACGAGATATGACCACACCCAGAGTGGTGTCGGGGTATGACTACACCCATAGTGGTGTGGGGTATGTATGACCACATCCGACGGGATGTTGGGGTATGTATGACTACATCCGACGGGATGTGGGGTATGTTTCCCGGGAGAGTTATTAGCATGGGAGTAGCCAGGCGCCTATAAGTAAAACATGATAAGATGCATATGCATAAGTCAAGGTGGTTGAGTCTTTTGCCTATTGGGATGTCGGAGGGCGGAGATCTGATCCTAGTGCTTTGGCTTGTTTGCTAGATGTATGGTAGGGGTATGCTCTGTTATGAACTCACGATGCTATGATTATCTCACTCAGCTACGAGCTGACCCTCTTTTATTCTTCTTCTCTGCTTATGCTATGTGTAAGCAGATCATCATCATCAGCAGTAGATAGGTGTATAGGTGGGAGCTGAGCTAGAGTTGAAGCCAGGATGAGGTATGGTCTTCAACTATTCTGTGCTTGGACTACTACTCGGGATTTTGGCCAGTGATCCACACCTTTTTGTAAAAATGTTTTGAGAACGTTTTTCATGTGCATACTAGCTTCTGATGTAGTGTGAGATATCCACAGGTGTGGAAAGTTGATGATATGTGTATATGTTGTGTAACTGTGTAAGTTGTGACGATTATGGTATGTATAAGTATGGTATGGAGTTGTGGAGTATGAAAAGTGTGTCTATGGCTAAGAAAAGCCAATGCATATGGTTGTTATTATATATTTTTGTGATGAATTATTTTGCAGGATAAGTTGCAAGAACTGTTAGCCCATTACGCGAGTAATTCATGTCGCAATTTTATTTGGGTAAATTTTGATAATTAATGTAACGCCCGAGATTAATTCCGCTGCAATTGTATAAACAATATGATTAGGCAAAACGTATAGGGTAGGGTGTTACAGCTCCCTCACTTCGCAATTGAGCGGCGTTTTCATCTCTAAATCTGCCTTCTCCGTCCGCCCCTTCAAGATGGCTCTCCGGCCCATTGTCGCCCGTCAGTCTGCCATTCGTGCTTCGAGGAAATGGTAAATTGATTCTGATTGATTTTTGTTTGGGTGTGTGTGTGTGTGTGTGAGAGAGAGAGAGAGAGAGAGAGAGAGAGAGAGGAGGAAGAATGGAAGATGAGAAAAGATGGGGAAAAGCTGCACGCGGAGGACTAACCAAGGAAGATGATAAGTGATGGGGAAGTTTCAAAAAAAATTATTTTTAAAATTTTCTATTAATTTGCTAATTAGTTGTATATATTGTCCGGTATATTCCGATACATCTGGTATTACTCAGAGACGATACTCTGATTTTGGCGGCACGGTTTTTTGACAGAAAATATATTTTATTATTACAAAAACGGTATTTACCGGTATGAAACGGTTGAACCACGGTCATACCACAAAATACCCTACCAGAAAGGAATCCGGTTTGATGTCCGGTACGGTTTCCTTTACCATGCTCACAAGAGAAGGCAAATGATTCTAGTTGGGTAAATTGGAAGATTTGTTATTGTGTTTACTAAAAAGCGTAATGTTTAGTCACTATATAATATTTAATTATGTATTGATTACTGAGACTTGTTAAACACTTCAAGTTTAGATACTAATCATTATAATTAATTAGTCTGCATTAATGACTTCTGTTTTTTTTTGCTGATGTGGCTAACTAAATAGCCGAATCAGCCTAATTTAACCCAAAAAATTGTAATCCAATTGGATTGATGATTGTTGGCGAATTGTAGTTTAGTATTTATACTTTTTTATATTTTGATAACTACATTGTTTTTACTTAAAGTATCATAAGAAAATTTAGTTTTGGTAGCTAAATTTTTTATTATGATATTTACTAATTCCTCCAAGTTTAAGATCTCACTTGGATCCATGATCGAATTCATGAACCCACCAATTCATTTTATCGATAGATCCACCAATACAATTCAGAATCTACAAATCTATAAATCCAACTCATTTGTCACCTCTATGCCATACATATTTTGATTATCTTTAGAACTATTTTTGTTCGTTTCAAGTCCTTGAAATCGAGTAAGCATGAAACTGATCCGGCAGGAACGAAACCCGCTCGCTGGAATGGGGGCCATGGCCCCCCTAAGATTTTAAATAATTTATAATACCAAGTATGCTACATTATAGGCAGCTATCTCAACTGGTTGGGATTTTAGTTCCTGCCACCACTTAATCTAGTGGTCAGGGTTCAATTCAAGGACAAGCTTACTTTTACTTCTTTTTTATTCATGTTTTAATTTTAATTTTGGAAGGAAACCCGTCATCGTTATGGTGATCTTAATTACATTTGATGCAAAAATATAGCAAGAAAACTCTCTCATCATTATGGTAATTTTAATTACATTTGAATGTGATGCGGGGTTCAATTCAAGTGGTCAGGGTTTATTCATGTTTCAATTTTAATTTTGGAAGGAAACCCTTCATCATTATGGTGATCTTAATTACATTTGATGCAAAAAATATAGCAAGAAAACTCTCTCATCATTATGGTAATTTTAATTACATTTGAATGTGATGCAATAAAATGTTTGATCTTAATTTTTAATTTTGCAAGGAAACCCCTCATCATTATGGTGATCTTAATTACCCTTTTTTATTCATGTTTCAATTTTAATTTTGCAAGGAAACTCGTCATCATTATGGTGATCTTAATTACATTTGATGCAAAAAATATAGCAAGAAAACTCTCTCATCATTATGGTAATTTTAATTACATTTGAATGTGATGCAATAAAATGTTTGATCTTAATTTTTAATTTTGCAAGGAAACCCCTCATTATGGTGATCTTAATTACATTTGATGCCAAAAAATATAGCAAGAAAACTCTATCATCATTATGGTAATTTTAATTACATTTGAATGTGATGCAATAAAATGTTTGATCTAATCCATAAATTATGTAATAGTTCTGAATTTTTTGAAGTTAAATTGTAGCTATTAGAAAAAATAGTTAAATACATAATTGCTTTTTAGTGTTTTTTTAAGAATCTAATGAAATATTTTCTTCATAAATTTATAGAATGTTGTGCTAAATTGATTTCAATTTTTAATTTCATTGCATGTTCTTGTGACCAGTAATTGTATTTTGATTACAATAAAAGGTGGAATCTTATTCATGAATTATTAATCACCTATTTTTTTGTTGTTAAATTGTGGATTATTTGTGTAAATCTATAAAAAAAAGTTCGTCAACTTTCGTCAGTATTCAAAAGGGGGGGGGGGATGTGGAGTCGAAATTCGATCAGTATTCAAGGGGGGGGGGGGATGTGTAAATCTGTATATATATAAATTGTGGATTATTTGTGTAAATCTATAAAAAAGTTCTACCCGGAGAATGTGGAAATGGAAGCCCGTGCAAAGCTTCGACGACTCACCCACACCGGCGGAATTCGTGACTATGTCAAGAAGTTCTAGGAATTACTACTTGAGATCCCCGATCTGCCGGACAAGGAGGCTTTGTTTGGCTTCCTTTTCGGATTGCAGCCTTGGGCAAAGTTAGAGCTCGAGAGGCGTGGAGTGCAAGATCTTGCTACCGCTTTGGCA